TATTAATGAATTTGACTACTTTAGATACTTCCTGTAGGTGGAATCATACAGTATTTGTCCTTTTGTGACTGGCTTATTTCACTTAGCGTAATGCCCTTAAGGTTCATCCCTATTGTTTTTTGTTTTGTTTTTTAAATATTTTTATTTATATATTTTTGTGAGAGAGAGAGGGAGAGAGCGCGTGCGTGCACGCGCATTATATGGGGGGAGGGACAGAGAGAGAAGCAGGCTCCCCGATGAGCAGGAGATGAGCAGGGAGCCCGATGCAGGGCTCGATCCCAGGACCCTGGGATTATGACCTGAGCCGAAGGCGGACACTTAACTGACTGAGCCACCCAGCCACCCAAGATTCATCCCTATTGTAGCATGCGACAGGATTTCCTTTTTAAGTTTCCATAGCATTCTGTTGTACATATATTCCACATCTTGTTTATCCATTCATCTGCTGGTGAACACTTGGGTTGCTTCCACTTTTTGCTATTGTGATTAATGTTGCTACGAATATGGGTGTGCAAATATCCCTTTGAGACTCTGTTTTCAATTCTTTTGGATATGTACTCAGAAGTGGGATTGCTGGATCATACTGTAATCCTTTTTTATCTCACCAACTATAGATGGCTTTTAGGGGTTCAGCTGTCATATGTATAATAAGATATTGTCTTAAATACAACAGAGAAGTGAACAGACACAAAACCCGGACCATTGTGCTTCAGATATATCAGTCAGGAGAGTTTAAATTGATAACTGTTAACAAAATACTGAATCATACACTCATTATGTTTTTTTAAAAACGGAGATATATAATTTACAGATCTTATTTTTAGATACTTTCAGTGTAATTAGGCTTGTGTTTTGATTTACATTTGGATGTGTTTAGAAAGACCTGACTATAGGGGCACCTGGCTGGCTCAGTTGGAAGAGCATGCAACTCTTGATCTCAGGGTCATGAGTTTGAACACCACATTGGGTGTAGAGATTACTTAAAAATAAATAAATAAGCTTAAAAAAAGACCTGGCTATAATATTTTTAGACTATTTTATTGTTTTTTTAAAAAGATTTTATCTATTTACTTGAGAGAGTGAGAAAGAGAGAGAGAGAGAGCACGAGAAGGGGGTGGGGCAGAGGGAGAAGCAGTCTCCCTGCCAAGGGGGGAGCCCCATGTGTGGCTGGATCCTGGGACTCTGGGATCATGACCTGAGCCAAGCGCAGATGCTTAACCGACTGAGCCACCCAGGTGCCCCATTTTTAGACTATTTTAATAGCCTTTCTTTTGTATTAAATTTTGAATGAAATATTTGAAATATTTCAAGTCTACAGAAAATAATATAACAAATATCTACTTAAACCCAACTCAAATAAAACCATATTTTTTGGCATATTTCTTTAGATCTGACCCCAAGAGTAGTGCAGTAGGTTGGGAAAAAAAAAAAACAACCAATAAACATTTCCACTTCTACTGTCTGTGAGAGCAAGTAAAGATTCATGAAATCAGAAAAAAGAAACTAGTAAATAAAATGAATTCATACATGGCTACATAAGCTCTTCCTGTAGTTTGAGAGAAATCATGGGCTCTGAAGTCACATAGACCTCAGTTCAAGCCCTGGGTTTGCTTCTTGCCAGTTGTGTGGTCTTGAGCAAGCTCCCTAACCTATTTTTTTTTTTTTAAGATTTTGCTTATTTATTTGAGAAAGAGTGCACATAAGCAGTGGTGGGGGAGAGGCAGAGGGAGAGGGAGAAGCAGACTCCCTGCTGAGCAGGGAGGCTGACAGGGGCATGATTCCAGGACCCTGAGATCATGACCCGAGCCGAAGGCAGATACCCGAATGACTGAGCCACCCCAGGCGCCCCTCCTTCACCTATCTTTGCCTCAGTTTTCTCATCTGTAAGATGGAGATAATCATAACACTTCCCAAGTTTGTTGGGATGATCGAAAGAGAAATATGAACACATATTTACTATGTACAGTAAGTGACACATAGCAAAACTTCAATAAATATTAGTAACTACTTATTTTATTTATTGAGCACCTACTAGATGCCAATCACTCTTCCAGTACTGAAAATTCAGCAGTGAACAAGAGAGATAAAGACCACTACAGGGGCACCTGGGTGGCTCAGTTGGTTGAGCACCTGCCTTTGGCTCGGGTCATGATCCCAGAGTCCTGGGATCGAGCCCCACATCAGCTCCCTGCTCAGCGGGAAGCCTGCTTCTCCCTCTCCCTCTGTCTGCCACTCCCCCGCTTGTGCTCTCTCTCTTTCTCTGTCAAACAAATAAATAAAATCTTAAAAAAAAAAAGACCCCTGTGGAGCTTACTTACTAGTGATGAACAATAAACAAACAAGGTAATTTCAGATAGTAATAGCGACCCTGAGGAAAAGGTATGGGAAGGGGATGCAGGAGCTACTTTGGACAGCAGACAGGAGGCCAGGCAAGGCCTGTGGGAAGGCTTCAGGGGTGAATTTAACTGAGAGTAGCAGAATCAGTCATTGGAAGGTTTGGGGAAGAATGTTGGAGAGAGCAGGAACAGTATGTGCTTAGGCTCTGAGGTAAGAAAGCTTGTGCAGGAAGAAAGGACAGGATGGCTGGAACTGCATGTGAGGGGAAGGGAGGCTGGGCATGACATCTGAGAGTTAGGGAGAATGGGTCAAGAAGGGCCTTGTGGACCATAGATTAGAGCTTAGATTTTATTTATTTATTTATTTATTTATTTTTAGATTTTACTCTTAAGGGACTGTGGAGACATTGGAGGGTTTTTATTGTTAGTAGTTACAACACACTTTGCCCTCGGGAGGAATTTGTGTGCTTTTCTGTGGCCCTGTTCTAGAATTATGTACATGTATATGCTTTAGGAATAACTGTTCTGGGAAATAGCACATTGGTTACTCATGGGCTCCCCCTGGTGGAATTGTGGCTCAGCTTGCATGGTTTCAGATGAGCAAAAGCAAAGTAAATGGGCAATTTATCTTTTCAGTCAACAAACATTAATTGGGCACCTACAGTGTGCTAGGCTCTGTTCCGGTGCTGAAATACATCTGTGAAAAAAACACAGACACCTGTGCCCTCCTGGAGCTTACAGGTTGGTGCGTATATGTGGGAGAAAGACATTCAACCAAATATACCAGCAAATTGTTGGATGGGATAAATGTTATTTGAGAAAAAATAAGTGAAGAATTGGGCTAGGAAGTGCAGAGAGGGTGGTGGTGCTTCAGTTTTAAATACAGTGGCAGGGAAATTCTCATTAGGAGGGTAACATTTGAACAAAGATGTAAAGGAGGTGACAGGGTGAATGATCAGTTATCTGGGGGAAGAGCATTCCAGGCAGAGAGATCAGCAAGCACGAAGGGCCTGAGTTTATGTGCAGGTTTGAGGAATAGCAGGGAGGCCAAAATGTCTTGAGGTGGGGGGTTAATGAGAGTAGGAAGTGAGGTTAGTTGTACTTGGGTGGGGGGAAAGAGGTGTCACATGTTGAGGGGCTTCTAGACCAGTTTAAGGATTTTTTGTTTTCACTTGAAAATAGTAGTCCAGGGGCGTCTGGGTGGCTCAGTTAAGCGTCTGCCTTCAGCTCAGGTCATGATCTCAGGGTCCTGGGATGGAGCCCCACACCAGGCTCCCTGCTGGGGGTTGGGGGGAGTCTGATTCTCCTTCTCCCTCTGCCCTCTGCTTGTGCTCTCTCTCTTGCTCTTTCTATCTCAAATAAATAAATAAAATCTTAAAAATTAAAAAGAAAATAGGAGTCCATTGGAGAAGGGACATGATCTGCTTAAGGTTTTAACAGAAGCTTGCTGCTGTAATAGATCATGGAAAAGTAAGGGTATAAAAAAGAGCAGTCACACATAGTCTGTGGCTTTTACCAAGAGAAGCAGTGAATGGTCAGACTCTGAACAAATTTTGATGGCAGATTCTGCAGAACTCACTGGTGAATTCGACCTGGGGGTGTGAGAGGAGTCAAGGATCTTAGTAAATGACACTACTTAATAAATTGTCATAGGAAGAGATGATCAAAGAATATACAGCCAAAAATGTAGGAAAAACATATTTTAGGGGAGCCTGGGTGGCTCAGTCAGTTGAGCATCCAACTCTTGATCTCAGCTCAGTCCTGATCTCACCGTGGAGAGTTCAAGCCCCACACTGGGCTCTGCGCTGGGCGTGGAGCCTACTGAAAAAAAACAGAAAAACAGAAAAAAAGTATTTTAGAGGTGTATCAAGCAGTTTAAAAATAGTGTGTGAATTTTCTGGATTTTGTGGTATTTGTTAAGTTTTTAAAATTTGTAATTTGTGATTTCTTTTTTCACTCCAAGGATTCATTTTTATACCTCATATTATATTTGTAATTTTGGATTTTTTTTAAACAGGGCCCTCAAATTGAATAAATCTCAAGCCTCCACAATACCTGAATTCAGTCCAGCTCCTTGCCCATATTTGGGTAGTAATTTAAAGTTAGTGAAGCATTAATAAATATTGTTTCTGACAAAGTTATCACATAAAATAATGTGCACGAAATAGAAGTCATTGTAAGATTACTACAATATTAGAAATAAACTAATATTGGGGATTAAAACACCACCCTGGCTTCGCCTCCCCACCAGTGTCTTCCAAAACTTCTCACCCATTCTTCCTCCCACAGTTTTTCTAAATCTATCACATACATCCGGCATTTCTTCTCACGATCGCTTTGGGGAGGCAGGCATTACACAAATTTTAAAAGACCTTCTAAAAATATGAATGCTGAAATATTCTTTATCCGGCTGCTTGTGCATCAGCTGCACCACCGCCCGCTCGCAGCAAGAGCCAGCCTCTTCGCACGCTCCATCCAGGCTCCCCGCAGGGCGTAACCAGGGGCGGGGCGTAACTAGGGGGCGGGGCTCCCGCGATGGCGGAGGGGGCGGGGTCTAGGCCCTTCCTCGCCCCGCCCCGTGAGGCCTGACACATGCGCCCAGAGGCTTCTGGTGGAACGAGGTGTGGATTGTGAGGTGACCCTGGCTGCTGACTTCCGGTTCCTAGGGATGCGCATCCGGGTCACGCAAACGCCGCGGTTTCCTCTATCCGCTTGGTTCGGCTGTGAGTCTGGACCAGTACCCATGTCCTGCTTTGGGGCCTCTGCAGCCTTAGGGTGAGTCCCCTCCGCGACAGGGTCTGAATGCGGCCGGTTGATTGCAGCCTGTAGGGGGACGGGTCAAAAGTTCTGTCCCGGTCCCTGTGGGTGGGGGTTCTATTTGCCTGTCCCTTGTCCCTGTAATGCTTCCCTCACTTTAGCCCTTTCCCTTGCCGGCCTCGCCTCTTTCACCTCCCCTTAGCCTTGCCCGTCGCCGCGCACCTCTCGCCTGGCTGTTTTCCTCGTCTTCATCCGCGGGTTACAAGCCCCGTTTTCTTGCCTTTTGCCTCAGCGCTTTCCTCACCACTGCTTCTCGCTTTTCCCCTCCTCTCACGTTAGCCCCTCCCTGGTATCTCGCCGTTCTTTCCCTTACAGGACTGCCCACCTCCTCATTGTGCTTCCCCTCCTCCACTGCGAAACAGACTGTCTTTCTGGGGTCCTAGGTCCCGTCCCCCAACTTCCATCACCTTCGACCCGTGTCCCTTCCTGGGACTAATAGGTGGCATTTGTGCTTCGCCTGGGGTTCTCCCGCCTTTTCTTAGCTAGAGGAGGGTTTAGCCAAAGCCCCAATCTGGGCCGATTATCCGTCTTGGGGGAAGTTTTGCCTTGAGGCGTTGTGTTAGACTCAACTTTGGTAGCTTCGGTAGTTAGGGAACAACAAAGGCGTTCCCAGTTCTTTGCTGAGCACAGTGTGGGGGGCTCTCTCTGGAGAGGGCTAACAGGTGGCAGGCACACGGATCTGCTCTGGGCTTGTGTGGTCTTGTTAACTGACAGGCCATGAGGACCTCCTGTCATTTTTGTGTTCTCTGCCCCATGAGAATGGATGGGCACAGCTGAGGCAAAAATGCAGATATTCTTGGGACGATCACCTTTGTTTTCTGCATAGGCTTTACTTACAGGACGGTTGCTATGACAAAGGACAGAGTTTCTTGGGAGATTTTTAGCCCCAGATTTGTAAGCTTATTGCCAAAAATTTTGTGTTACTGAAATGTTTTCTGCTAAGGAGTGCACTATAGTAATTTCAAAGTACAACTTCTTTACTTGAGCTCAGTGTGCATATATATCTTTATCCTTACCTCTTACAAATTGTTTCTTTACTTTTACGGTATTGACAAGTTTTCTGTTTTTCTTCCCATTTCTTCATAAGCCAGCCATTACACTACATTATTACTATTATTATTTTTTCTTTACTATTTCCACCTTAGTCTTTTTTTTTTTTAAGATTTATTTATTTATTTGAGAGAGAGAGAGGGAACAGGAGCAGGAGGAGCAGAGGGAGAGGGGGAGAGAGAATTTCAAGCAGACTCCCCGCTGAGATTGGAGCCTGATGCCGCTGGATCTCACGACCCTGAGATCACCACCTGAGCCTAAACCAAGAGTCCCGACACTTAGCTGACTGTGCCACCCAGGTGCCCCTCCACCTTAGTCTTAAAACCACCTCTTTCTCACTTAAGACTTAGGTTTCTCTTAAATTTCTTAAATTTCTCTAATGGCTCTTAGTCACCTCTAAGATGAAGAGATTGGATTTAATAGTGGTTAGTGTCGGATTTCTCAAATTTTGTGATCTGAGGTATATTTTGAGGCACAGGGTTGGATAATTTTTATTTTTGTTTTTCTGACGTTTATGGTGGTGTCTAGCATTTTATTGCAATTTTTTTTGTGTGTGAGCAGCTTCTGAAATACAAATCGTGCTCTGAAATTTAGTACTTAAGTGAACAGAATAAATACAGCTTTGTGTCTGCTTTACTTTTGACTGGTGAGTTACAGAAAAGTTTCTCTCATTATATGATACACATACATACACAGGCATAGCATAGACCTTGGCTCATTCCAGAATTGGGCTGCTCCCTTCAGCTATTTTTAGCAAAGGACTTTGGAGCTTGGCCATATTAGTCCTAGATGCCACAGAGAAGGACCCTTCTGGTTGGTGTTCAGGCCGTAGCTAACTGCTGAGGGAAGACCCTTTGAAAGCTCCTTACCCATACCTCTTCCCCAGCACCTATACTGGAAACTCTAGCTTCTGTTCAACCTGGCCTCATCATTTCTGCATCCTTGAAAACTAACCCCAGTGAGTATGGGCTGACTCTGTTTCCTTACCTCCAGCTTTGTGGACTCTTTTTTTTAGCCATGGGAACTCCATAGATAGACTTATATTTGGATTGATTCAAGGCTCTCTTTCAACCTTTTTCATTTCTGAACTTTTTATTTCTTGAGCATGTCCAAGTCTAAACCTAGATGGATTTCTACAGTTTACAGCTGGAGGGAACCATTGAGCTCAAACTTACCCCTTCATTTTACAAATAAAGAAATCAAGACTTAAAGAATTGGTGATTTTTCCAAGGTCAGTTTTTACAAATAAAGAAGTTTTGTGCATGTACTCAGAAGTGGATTTTAGTTCCCTCAAAGTTGTAGGTCAGAGAGCGCAATATAGCATTTAATGGTTCATTTCAATACATTTGTGTCACAGGAATGAGTTTTAGGGTAAGAAATTTATGACAGATTTTTAAATTCAAGGCTAAAGTCATTTTGCCTTCAAAATGGACTCTAGAAAGAAATTGTGTTGTGCAGAAGTAGAAGTTGAAAAGTCTTAGGGAGTCTCTCTCTCTCTCTCTTCTAAAATCACTTTAGCTTATTATGATATAAATGCTGCATAAAAACTCTTACATGAAATGAACGTCCTAAGGTCTGGGAGCAATTGTGTTCATGCTCCTGGTCTTCCTACCCAACGCTAATAGACTTGCTAATTACTGAAAAGCCTGCACGTCTTACCTAGCTTCCAAACAAACAAACAAAAATATCACTAGAGACAGCTTAGCGGATGTTTGTAATGCTCAGGAGAGGAATCGCAGTAGGTTTTCTATAGAAATTTCTCCTTTAGTTTGGCAGTCTTAGCTTGTAACCCTGAGGGTTCAATTTAAAATAAATTTCTGCATATTAGTTTATGCCTACCAGTTTTGTTTTTATTTGGCTTAATTATTTTTGAATGTTATTTTCTTGTCATTTTACTTGCTACTGTGCTTTGTTTTACATGGTTTAATTTTTATTCTTGAACCCTGGAATATATTTTAAGGAAAATGCAGCTTTAAAAGTTCAAGAAACAAAGTACACCTCTTCCATGTCCTTACCATTTGTACCTTGCAGTGTGATGGTTTCTGTGATCTGCCTAAGCCACTTCATAACTTCATTCTTTTTGTTTTGCTTTCAGATAAAAGGCTGATAGAATTTCTTTTTTGTAGCTGTTTGTCTAAAAGACTTTTGTGGGGCGCAGGGGTGGCTCAGTTGGTTAGACTGCCTTCGGCTCAGGTCATGATCCTGGAGTCCCAGGATCGAGTCCTGCATCAGGCTCCCTGCTCAGCAGGGAGTCTGCTTCTCCCTCTGACCCTCCCCCCTCTCATGTGCTCTCTCTCTATTTCATTCTCTTTCTCAAATAAATAAATACAATCTTTAAAAAAAATAAAAAATAAAAGATTTTTGTGTTCTGCATATAACAGCAGGATATTTTAACTTATGTATGTTTTAAATGGAGGAAGAATAGTTCAAAATAGTTAACATAGACTAGTTTAACATAGAAATAGTTCAAAATATATTTAAGAATATTAGGAATAGTTTATTTTTCTCATACATTCATTTATATCAAGCGGTTAATTATTTGAAATAAAGTTGAAAATAGGTGGACTTTCTGCCAATTAACTTAAAAATGCAGGTGCATGTTCTTATACAGAATATATGGCTTAAGCTGTGAATATGTTTTATTGACAGAGAACATAGCAAATAATGGAACAGCAACCACACCATCATCTCGATATTTTTATTTGGTCCCATCAACCTAAGTCTAATTATCTAATTAGATGTATCTAATTATTAAATGTAAAAATGATGAGAGTATTTTCTTTGTTATTTATAGTATATTTTAAAAAGTTATTAGAAATATGGGCTTCGTAAAATTTATCTTTACTATTTTCTCCTTTTAAATGTGTAGGAGTATTTTACCTCTTTTTTTTTTTAAAGTAATCTCTCCACCCAACATGGGGTTGGAACTCATGACCCTGAGATCAAGAGTCGCATACTCTACCTACTGAACCAGCCAGGCACCCCTGTATTAGTATTTTATTTATTTTATTTTTTATTTATTTTTTTAAAAAGATTTTGTTTATTTATTTGACAGAGAGAGACACAGCGAGAGAGAGAACACAAGCAGGGGGAGTGGGAGAGGGAGAAGCAGGCTTCCCGCGGAGCAGGGACCCAATGCGGGGCTCGATCCCAGAACCCTGGGATCATGACCTGAGCCAAAGGCAGGCACTTAACGACTCAGCCACCCAGGCTCCACTGTATTAGTATTTTAAATCAAAAAAGGAAATGTATAAATAGTGCTGACCTTTCAACATCCATTGAAATCATAAAACTCATGATTAAAAACTCTTAACAGAGTAGGAATAGAGGGAACATACCTTAACATAATAAAGGCCATATATAACAGACCCATCACAAACATAGTCAATAGTGAAATACTGAAAGCTTTTTTTCTGAAATCAGGAACAAGACAAGGGTGCCTACTCTCACCATATTTATTCATCATAGTGTTGGAAGTCCTGGCTATAGCAATTAGGCAGAAAAAGAAAAAGTATCCAAATTGGTAAGGAATAAGTTAAACTGTTACTATTTGCAGGTGACCTAATTCTACATGTAGAAAACCTAAAATCTCCACAAAAAACTGTTAGAATTAATGAATTCAGTAAATTTGCAAGACAGTATACAAAAATCTGTTGCATTTCTACACAGTAATGAACTATTAGAAAGAGAAATTAAGAAAACAATCCCATGTACAATGGCATCAAAAAGAATAAAATGTCTAGGAATAAATTTAATCAAGAGGTGAAAGACCTGTACACAGAAAACAATAAGACATTGATTTAAAAATTGAAGATGACACAAATGAACAGAAAGATAGTCCATGCTCATATATTGGAAGAACTAATATTATTACAATGTCCCTACTACCCACAGCAATCTACAGATCA